TAGATTTGAATAAGTAATGTAGACAACAAAAAGGAAAAAACGAATGACAATGTTTACAAATCATTTGTAACGATTTGATTGATTAGTTTTCATTTAAACGTGTGTTCATTTCATCAAGAACTGAAATAAGATCACCATTTTTTGAACGTATAAGTTGAAGAAGATTTTCATCTGTATCATCAAATCCCATTGCTTTCATTTTTTCAACACAATCTTCTACCGCTTTCTCCAATGATGGCGATGTTTGTGATGTATTATTTGAATTATTAGCTGATGCTGTTGATGAATTTGTTCCATTAGGACGAAACATATTTAACCATGATGAAATTCCTCCTTGTTGTTGTTGTTGTTGTTGTTGTTGATTATTTGTATTTGAATTTCTGGGTACAGTACTTGGTTCCGATGGCACTGTAGTTTCATTAGTTGATGTTCCTTGTCGAGTATTTGTTGTTGATGATGTATTTTCATCCACACGATAATCACAATCAATACCAAATGGTGATAATGTTTGTTGTAAATATTGACCAACACTTTCAAGATATTGTTTTGAATTTTGCATATGTGTTTGTGTATTTGACTTAATATTATCAAACTGTTGTTGCATATGAGTACGAAAATGTGCTGTATTTTCTCTATTAGGTAACCATTGTGGAATTTGTGTTTGAATTTGTTCAAAAAATTCTGTATTTGGTATAAACGGTGGTGGTAACGTATGACGATAACGACGATTACTATTGCGTGAACCATAAGGATGATAAAAATTTCCTGGTTTACTTATTTTAATCATATTATGTTCCGAATGAATACCAGATAATGAACATTTTTCACATAAATCATAATTTGGACATATAACACATTTATAACGAAAACCAATAATTGAACCTTTACAATTATCACATTCAACACCAGGATGACATTCTTTATTAATTGGAGTTTCTTGTTGATTTGTTGATTGATTAATGGTAACAAAAATTTTAAGAGCATTAGAGTCTTTATTTGATGATATAGCTGAACGTAATTCATCATTTGAACTGAATGTAATACGTTCATTTTCTTCATCAATATATTGAAGTGTAAAACCATTTAATTGAATATCAGGTTGATATGTTGCAATTTTTGTACATAATTCTTGATAAATATCATTGTTTGGTGAAATATCAATCTAGATATATTGATGTTTTTTTTTTTAGAAAAACAATTTATCTATAATATGCTTACTGCAAATCGACGAATTTCTGGTTGTTGTTGTTGTTGCTTTGTATAATATACTTTAACGTAACAAGTAGAACTCATGTTACCTTTTTGTTTATTTTTTATTTTACGAGCACAATTGAGTAAGATAGAAAATGTGAAGAAGAAAGTAATTTCGTCGCTTAATATATGCTTTTTTTCTAGAAAGAGAAAAACAAAGTATAGTATGATTCATAAGATTCGGAAGAGTGGAGAAGAAAGAATGAGTAAGACTTAGTGAGAAAGCAAAAAGACTCCAACGAAGAGTAAAGCACAACAAATCTTTGACATCATCATCTTTTTTTTTTTTGGCCGTTCTTTGCACCTATGGGGTGGTTTGACGAGAATAAATATAATGAATAAGAAAAAAAAAAGAAAAAAATTTTCGATGAAGAAATATAAATGCAAAGTAAAAGACAAAGAACCAATTCAACTCTAAAGAAAGAAAAACTAGTTGATGATAGCCATCTATAGAGTAGATGTCCTGCGACAACGTAGAATCATATAAGTACAACTTATCAAATTTAGAATATTGAAACTATGTTTAATTATCATTCTAGTGAAGATCGTATTCGTAATGGTTCAAAAAAATTAATGAAAGCTCGATCAACAACTCAACAAGGTCGTCTTGATACATTCTTTTCAGTATCTCGTACTATTTCTGCAGCAGTACCAACTGTTAAAAAAACTGTATGTCATTATTTTATAGTGAACTTTAAAAAGAAAATGCCTATAAATTCTTTTCTTCTGCCTTTATTTTTTTTTAGGAAAGTCCAATAGCTGCTAATAAAGGTCTTAAACGTAAAACTGGGCCAACAGCCGATAATAAACCAAAAGGAAAAGCTGGTGCTGGTTCAGCAAAAAAACCTAAAGTCAAATAAATAAAAAAGATTTAGTCAAATTCATTGTCTCGTTTGCCATGCCATTTGATGAAAATATTCATTGGTGATATCGTTTGCAAGATTTATTTTTGTATCATATGCTTTTTTTTTCTTTTGTTATTGTTCTTGTCTATTTTCTTGTTCAATAAAGCTATATGTAATGATGAAATAAATGCAAGAATAAAAACTATTGCCGAACAAATGATAAAGCACAGTTATATTTTCTAGAAAAATAAAAAATAATTTTCTATAATGTCTTCATCAAACTTAAATATTCAAACGAAAGTAAGTGAACATTTTTTTTTTCTATCTGTACACAAAATAAAGAATAGGCTATAATTCAAGATTTTTTTTTTGGCATATGTAGATTCAAGTTACTAATATTCTACGACATGAACTTGAAACATTAAAACCAGAACGTGTATGTATTCTTTATACATTTTTGAATTGTTCTATTGATAATTTTATTCATTCAAACTTTTAAGAAGGTCTATGTTCAACAGCCAGGGAGTCTAGTATTTTTCAAAGGTGATAAAGATAGTGCACTTAAAAATTGTAAAGGTATGTATCATTCATTTCAAAATATAATGTGCACTACTGTTGTTTTGAATAACTTTTGACCATTGACGAAATCAGGATTTTGGGCTAGAAGACTCAGTCTCTTCCTCCTCTACGGAGCTTTGAGCTTCCTGACAAGGTTTTTGAAGAAAACAAAATACATCTTTCAAAAACCTTATTAGGGGAACTCAAAGATCGATAAGAGAAGCTGAGCATCCTCTATCTCCGTCACATTACAGAAACCTACGGTTTTCACCGTTCAAGAGAAAAGATCTGAAGCCATAGCAACGTATCGAAATTTGATCAGTCAGAAGTCGAACAATCAGGTGAGTTCTTGATGAAGGTTTTCAAAATTAGTATTCTAAAACTCTTCCCCTTTCGATCTATACAAAGTCACTACTGTTAGCTTGTTTCGTTCCAGAGATATAAGACTTTTTCTGCAATTCCTGATATCAGCCAATTGATCTGTGATTGTTCGAAAAAGTAGCTAGATAGGATTAATTGACCATACATAGTCGAACGGTGGTATTTTTTAGGTTTGAAATGATCTGCCACTACCCTCTCTATATTTGTAGAACGTCGACTTCTTTATCATATAGAAGCTGATTGTGGAATTTCATAAATATTGATATCACAGAGTTAGATCATTGCAAACCTAAAGAAAATTATCATCACTCGACTTAGCTTGGCAGATTGCTCTTGCCTAGCTTCTTTACCGAGTAATTGATCACAGATCAATTGATTGAAATCAGAAATCGTAGGAAAAGCCTTGTAATTCTCAAACGAAACAAACTAGGAATGTTGGCCTTGCATGGATCAAAAGAGAACTAACTTAAAAATATCGTTTTCCAAAGTCTTCATCAAGAACTAAACAGATTGATGAATTGTTGACCGCTCAAATTTCGATACATAACAATGGCTTCGGGTTCTTTCTCTGTTGACGATGAAAATCATAGATCTCTATGATATTTCTATCAAAAGCTATTCAAAAGAAAAAAAGTGGAAAACATTATATTTTGAGATGGATACTTGTTGTTTTTCTCATGTTTAGTAAACAGTATGAACTATCTATTTTTATTTATCATCATAGAAACTCTCAAGTCTCTTCAAAGTGACTATGAACAACTCGAAAGTCAAATGGATCAACGTGCTTAGAGAAAGACATCATTGTTTTTTTGTTTATATATCGAAATGTTAAACATTTTTTTGTGAATAAATAATCATTACCGTTATGTCACCAGCAATATCCTGATTGTACGAAGTGTGAAAAGTCTTCATTCTATGACACATTCATACAATGATTATCTATATTGTCAAATAATAACAACAATATAACAATTTGATCATCATTCTCGACTATCATTAACCTTATATCATTTTATCAATTGAAATATCTACATATCTTTTGGGCCTGTGATAGAATAGTGTATTCAGTTTCGGAAAGTTCGCGTATTCGTCAATAGAATTTGTTGATAGTAGTCATGCTTTAATCTGTATTGCGTGTAGGCGGATGGATCATCAGTTCGATTTGATTTACTTTGAATCGTTTATTTGAATATATGATTATGATTTATGGCGTATAGAACAAAAAAATTCATAGCGGCAAATGTGTCAAAGTCATTAAATATCAAGTAAATTTGAAAGAAGCTCATGAACGCGTGCCGAAAAACATGAAAGATTAAAGGAAAAAGTAGGTAGGAAGGAATGAATGAAGATGCGTTAGTTCAAAAAGATACTTCTATCGGCATGATCAACACGCAAGTGAAGAATGAATTCAAACTAAATAATCATACATGATATATTTGTTTCAAAGAAATGAATAGAAAAAAGAAACTTTATTTTACCTGTTTATAATAAAAGTACTAGAAAGATTTGAAAAATTTCATACAAATTATTTCTCAAAAAAAGAAAATTGCGCAATAGTAATAATAAAACGAATCCTTTTAGCTAAAATTATCGAATAAGGCAAGTGGGTTTTCAATAATTAATCATCGTTTTAAAAATGCAACTGATTTCGCATATAAAAATTATTTTCAAGTTGTTTTGTAAATATTTAAACCTAGAACATTTTGTACTTAGCAGTAATACAGCATTTCATAACCAGGTTTTTCCTACATTGCATGTTCATTACAACTGTTATTGACAAAGTACATGCTTTCTGTTCATTTCAATCAGCTGATTCAAGCAAGGAACATGGATAGGAGAAAGAAACACGCTACAAACTATTGGTCACACTCATTTTTTTCTCTCTTCTCTTTCGCTTTCACAATACGAACGCGTATAAATACAGATCGACAGAACATCATTGCACTATTCATTCAACTCATAAAAATGAATACATCATCATTTATCAACGATACTGAATACATCCGAGCTGCATGGGATCCTCAGCTTTCTTCAACTGATAGTCATCTTCTTGCTACTCTACTCTCAGAAGAAGATCAAGATGATTATAATCAACTTCTTAAAACTAAAATTTCTTCACCTATTCTACAAATATTACATCAAGTAAGATTTTTATCCTTATTCAAAATCTTCATAACAAAAAATTTTCTATTTTAAGTTACATTCACTTCTTCATATTTCATCATCTGCTATATGGATGTCGATTGTCTTAGTCAAAAAACTAATCATTCAAAACTATTCTATTGATTTATTAACAATCATAGCTTGTGTCACACTTTCATCTAAATATCAAGATTCATTATCACAATTTATTGATTATGAACTTATTATTCAATGTTATCCTATTCAAAGTATTCAACAAATTCATGTAAGTTTTCTTTTTAAACGATGTATAGTCTTTTGAAACATTTCTTTTTTTATTATAGAATACTGAAATTCATCTTCTCGATGTTTTTTCATATGATATTTGTGTTACAACTCCAGATCATTTCTTTTCTTATTTAATCAATCTTTCAAATAATAATAATTATTTAAAAGAAATTCTTGAACAAGCTCGATCTTTATTTTTAATCAAATCACTTTCAAATGAAACAATTGGTAAATAGAAGAAAAAAAAAGAATTTGTTCATTTTAACATAATCATTGTCTTTTTTTTAGAACTTCTTTACAATTATCCATCGAGTATTGTAACTCTTTCTTTCATCTCTAAAATCACATCAAATAATACTTTCTTTATTGAACAAATGAAACATTTTCTTCTTCATAAAAAAGATCCAACATATTACCTTGTAAGTAAATAAAGATCATTTTCACTCTTATAACTATTTTCTCTTCTCTTATTTCTAGATACAACTATTACAATGTACATCTCTACTTCAAAGTACAATTTCATAACTGATGATCTCATTGATTCTCTTTTTTCTGGTATACCGACATGAACACTTGTGAAACAGTGATTTATGAACAATTCAATGTCATATCGAATTGCATATCCGATGGCGGCACTACACATAAAAATACATAATATAACATTTCATATTGTTTATAGAAAGTGTTAGTTATTTTAAACTATTTTCTTTTTTTTTATTTTTCATTTATATATATATATATTTATTTTGTACATATTTTTTTCTGTAAAGAAATAAAACAGAGTCGATAAAATATTGAAAAATGATCTTTATCATGCTGTGAAAGAAAGTTAGATATGAATTGTCATTTCTATACGATGAACGATCCAGTTGCTAATCAGCTTATTATCAGTATTATTAAGGTGAAACCAAGAGAAAACAATTATTTAATCATATACTTCGTTAATTTTTCTCCATTCGCGAAAGAAAAAAGTGAATGAATGATAATCATTTACCTTACGGCATTTGTATGGTGTCCTCATTTCTTTTGTCGGCAAGACAAGTATCTTTCACGCAACTTTTCAAGTTAGATATCTATTTCAACATTGAATTGTGACCGACTGATTTCCTATGAAATGAACTGTTTATCCTAAGGAAATGATTATGTGAATAAAAAATATGCTGTCAGTAAATATTTTTAAATGTCTCGTAGAGAGAAGATTTATAATAGAAATATAATCGATGTTTATTGATGCATATCGTCAGTATTTAATTAATTTGCAAAGGATGTATTGTTATTGATATAACAAGTGGATCATCAACACAATATTCATATAAACAATATTATCCTTGAGCTATTCAAGCAATGGACCATCATTCATGTACATATAGATACAAGTAGCTAATTGAACACTTATGCGATAAGTTATTGGGAAGGTGAGAGAGAAGAAGTAGAGATGATGATTCTCACTACTATTGTACTTTGGAGGGGAAACTAATTAATTGAAAATGATGACTTTTCGAAAGAGATAGTTCAACACGTTTATGTCCAAAATTACATCTTATCGTCAATCATGAGGAAGAGTGTTATTTTTTTCCTCTCATCATCCTGGCTTCCTGATTTTCAATGTTCGTCAATTCACATTTCTTGTGAGCTTGTGTATTAATAATGTAAACGGGAAAGACAACCAGTAGTTGTATTTTCATTAGAGCATTCATTATTTTTTCACCATGAGCAAGATTTTTTTCAGTAGTAGAAAGTAAAATATGACTGTGAAAAATCGACACTAGTTGAAGAGGATCGTATATGAGATGAAAAATGTTGTGAAAGAAGTAGTAATAACCAGTGTGCCGGCAGTTCTCAGATATAATATTTTGTTAAATGTTTTGTTAGCATAAATGTGTTTGCTAGAAGTCATAAGCTATTGGTTGTCAGAGAACTTTTTGTTCTCGTTCCAATTGTAGACTTGTAAATTTTCTTGACGTGAACAATATTATTTTTTGAACGACGCAACAAATGATTTGAATGGAAATGTTTCGGTAAATTTCGTTTGATCTTCTTGTGGCGGTTCAACAGTAAATATTGAAGACCTTTATTAATATGTTAGCATGTAGAGTAGATGCTACCTTAAAAAAGAAGAATTATGTTTTGCTATTATTTTTTTTACAGTTCACTTCAATTGTGGTTTGACTTAAATCATCACTTTTGAAAAATCTACCTTTTGACCAAAAGACACTTTGCACTCAAATGAGATCTCGGATATATGAATATAGTTTTACGTAGGTGAAAGTCACAGCTTAGTTCAATATAATATTTTATATAGTGATGACTCAGCGAAATTACCAATTATCATTTGAAATTCTCGGCTAAAAATTTGCGCAATATTTCTAATCGAATTTTTAAAGAGATCACGTGACTCTGGTCATCATTCATTCTTTCTAGCTTGTCTGACATAGTTTTAGATCGAACAAAATGAGCAACTATTTTCATTAGCAACTTCAGCTTACACTTTCTACGCCAATTCATTTTACCTAGTCAAAGAAAAATACTACGAGCAGACTTAGACATAAATAAAATCAGCTTGGCTAAAATTTGAATGTAGGTGTCTGAGAACCTATGGGCATAGATACGAATACAAGTGGGATCCTATATGTGATTTTGGGTGATTGGAATTGTAGGTGTCATACTTTTCTCTTACCCATATCTACTTCGACAACTACACCTAGATATGACAACTTACAACTAAGCTGATCTCATACAGCTCATCAACTAACGTTAAGCACACTCCATCGAAAAGTACCAATGATTGCGCATTTACATCACAGAAAATGTGTCACATGTAGATCAACTCTGCCNTTGTAATTCCCGGTTGTACACTGGTAATTCTGTAAAAGGATCGTAACTTCAGAAGAAAGGTATAATGTGAGAAATCTTTCAACGTTTTTTGTCTACGCCATAAGCTCTAAATACGGACAAAATATAAACTCAAATGGAATGTATTTTTATTAAGGTTTCCTTCCCAGGTCAAGCAAGCTTGGTCGTAAATGACAGTTTTAGAGCATTTTTCGCCTGTTTGGCAGGGATAGTATTACGGCCGTATTTCATCATATCGTAAACGATCGGATATTCGGTTTTCAGACTGTTTTACGACCGTTGATAATCGTATACCATGCGATAAAAAACGGTCGTAAACTATATGAAACGACAGTATACGTTATCGTTTTCGGTCGCTACAGCTGTCGTAATCATCGTCCTGGGTTGTTAGTAACAAAGTCTGAAGATACTTTGCCCTTTTTTCATTTAATTTCATGGAACACTAAATAACACTAGCATCGATAAGGATCAGTTTCTTCCACTTTTTCTTCGGCACAGTTCAAATAATTTATTCTACAATTCCTTAGGATCCATCAGGATCTACCAGCATCCACCAGGATCCGGGGATCCATGATCTGCTTTTTCCCCTTTGGGCACGATATCCTTCCGAAGATTGGATTAATCTTCTTGGAGTTTGTATTCATTTTACCACATATTGTATATCTGTGTTCTTAAAAGTAGGTATTCGCTTTCCCGACGTTTTAAATCACTCCGACGGAAGAGAAAATCAAGATAAAACATTGATCTACGCCTTCTGAAAAACACTGTATGCAGTGTTAAATTAAAGTTTATACTCAGATGATAGCATTACTATCATATGTAATTGATTGTACACTCGTCAGATAATGAAATTAGTATGTGTAAATTATGAAAAACTTGGGGTTTTAAGTATACTTTACTGACAAACATAAAAAAGAAACACTTTGTGTTAGATTTCCATTGCAAATACTGGTAGAGAAGGTTTCCTAATCTTGAGCGCCATCAACATGAATCTCCTCTGTATCAATGGTTACAATCGTGAAATTTTCACAGTAAACTGGATTAGAGTATAGCACTTACTGAAGAAAGCCTCAAGTCAAATCAACCTTCATGTTGACACTACCTAAAGATTACTGCAAAAATCAAACAAAATTAATAGCGTTTGATATAAAATTTTTAGACATAATAGAGATAACAGTCAGTTTTCTAATAAGGTTTTAAGTAATGTAAGTTTTCTTTTTCACATGTTGAAATATCGTAGTGGAATTGTTCTGCGACAAATGTCGCATAAAATAATCAAGAACATTTACCTCGGTAAAATACGAATATGTTTTTGATAAAATGGCACAGCTTTACTTTCAATAAGTCTTAAACGATTTATTTTGTAAAAAATACCACATCCATCCGATTTATCACCAGCTCGTTTTAAATAAATAGAATCATATCCTTAAAAGAATTTAAAAAAAATAACAATAAACAAAAAAAAAAACTTTTTTTATTACCATGTTGCATTAATTTTGGTCGAAAATCATTTTCATAATGATAATTTTCCATTTCTTGTAAACAAAGAATCTAATAATGAAGACAAAAATGTATTTCTTTGTAATGATTTAAAAAATAAAAAAGAAACAATCATACATCAGCATCTTGTCTTAATAATTCTCGTAATAAACGATCTTTTCTTCGATACCATTTTAAATTATTTCTGAAACAATTAACATATAAAAATGGATGATCTTCTAATAACGCTTGTGACAGAATATTATAACAAACAATATGAAATTTAAAATGTTGTTGATGATATTGATGAAAATATTCTTGATAAACTGTATTTGACCACATTCGATATGATAAATGAGTTTCGACTAGAAGATTTTATTTTTCGAATATATGATTTAGAAGATAATTTACTTTGATGAGAAGGACGATTATTTCTTTGACGTTCATTTGATTTTTCTATGTTCTCAGAAGAAAATTGTTCTTGAGAAATAAACATATTTTGGTGATATGCTGGAACAAGTAAAGGAAGAGGGAATTTTTGATGTGTTGAGTATGACTTTTGATTAGATTCTTGTTCCATTTCGTCATTTTCTTCATGGGGAAAACGAGAATTCCAATGAGAATTAGGTTCATGAGATACTCTCGATGAACAATAATTATTGGAATTATGTGATGTTTGTGATCGAGGTCGATGAAAATTTGAAGCGGACATTATTGGACGAATTAAACGTTGAATTAAAAAAGCTATTACAAAAAATATAAATTTTTATAAGAATGAATTAATAAAATAATATTCTTACAAAATCAAATAGAATCACCGTTTTTTTATTTATTTAGTATTGTAAGTGAAAAATATTTATTTTCGTTTAGATGAAAGTTCTTATATGGGCATTTTTAATAGCATCCAATTGGTTGAAAAGAAGAACAAATCATTTATTTTATTTTGACCTTCATCATCTAAACTTTAGTTTTTCGAAAAAGAATGCGTCAATGAAAAGAAAACAACAATTTTTAGTTGAGGTTTACTCGTATTGTTTTCAAAATTTCTATCGCGTTGAGTTATACAATTTTGAACATATGAAAGATATGTGCAATTATTTACTAATAGTGATTGGCCTTCAAAAAACGAAAAAATGGAGCAGAGAGTATTGTGCACCAAGACCTTATATGGCGAATATTAGAATTTAATTTTCAAAAACTGTTATCTATTTTTTCTATTCCATTTTTACCTATGAGACGAACATCATTCAAAAACAGGTTTCATCTAAATTTCAACTATTCATATAACTCTTTCGCGACAAGAACTGTATATGTATGTCCAATTTGAAATCAACTCGTAAGTGACTTGTAATATCTATTATGATAATCTTATAACTGTGACTAATATATAGATTATGGATATATAACTTTTAGATGTACTAAAAATATTTCCAACTTTTTCCCTACAATAGCGAAATCCGAAGGATTTTTATAGGAATTTCATATAAGTGTAAAAAAACTGCCATTATATAGTATGACTTGTTTTTTCAAATAAACTAATTTTTTAATATCACAAAATTTCAATTTTCTTGTTTATAGTTGTGCAATAATTTCGCAAAAATCAACCAAGTGTTTTTTTAATATTCTCGATTTCGTCAAGTATTCTTTCAGAAAATACAAAGATCTAAACGGAAGTATTTTTTAGAAAATTCTGTTAGCCTAGCATCTAGACTGTACCAATAATTGAGATTTTCTTATCTTTCATCTATTGATTTATGTAGCGAGTAGTGTATCATCATGATATCCTTTTTGTTTTTGACTTTTTCTTCTACTTCTCGTATTACCTTTCTACTATCGGTTCTATTTCTTGTAATCGCTATTAGTTCACTGTGTTCGTTTTTATCTAACCTTATGTAATATGAAAATGATTTGAAGTGATGAAGTAGTACAGACGATATTCACATCAAGAGTGATGATAATGCTATTCTTCCAATTTATCATTGAATATCTCAATGCAATAGACGTAGTCAAACAAACGAATAGCGTCAGTTAAATTTCGTAACAAAAACTCGAAACTTTTACAAACATATTCTCATTAATCTTTTTTATTTTCATAGAAATGTCATAAAAAGTTACTTGTTTTTTTATTAACAGAAGACTTCTGTCCACGGAAATATTAGATTTTAACATATTATATTAACTTATCATATTCTATTTCAGATATGAGTTTATCAAAAAATTTTGAAAATAATAATATCAATCAACAAATGGATATACAAAATCTCATTGGTAGTAGTGGAGATACAAATAATAATATTTTACAGCAACATTCTAATCAAAATTCTACGAAATTATCTTATGAAGGAAATTATCAAGTTAATATATCATCAACTAATTTTGATCTTGAAACAATAACATCATCATATACAGGTCTTATGCGTATTTATCGTTTATTATATATAGCTGATCATTGTTTATCATTACGTACCGAAGCACTTTTAGTGAGTCTTAAATATATTCAAGAAACACATTTTACTTCACTTTATAAACAAGTAAACAAAAAAAATTATTTATTTGTTTTGTTGTTTATTGTTTTTCTTTGTTTTCATAAAATAGATAGTTGATGAATTAAAAAAACAAAATGTAACATTACCAAATGATTTTGATGCATCATGGCATGAAAAAACTCAACGTAATTATACACTTAAATTAGAAAAACTTGATAATGATTTACGAAATTTTCGTACAAATTCAATAAAAGATTCAATACGTCGTGGTCATGATGATCTTGGTGATCATTATTTAGATGCCGGGGATTTTTTTAATGCTGTACGTTGTTATGTACGTTCAAGAGATTATTGTGTTACACCAAGACATATGATAACAATGTGTATGAATGTTATAAAAGCATCATTTTATATGCAGAATTGGTCAAATGTTTTATCTTATGTTAGTAAAGCTGAACAAGCTGTTGAAAGTCTTGAATCAACAACTAAGTCAGCAACAACACCATCAGCTGTATCATCAGTGATTAATCCAATGGATGTAACAACAGCAAATACTGTTGTTGCATCTGATGCAATTTTAGCTTCACGTTTAAAAGTTTATGCTGGTATTGCAGAATTAGCAACAAAAAGATATAAATTAGCTGCACGACATTTTCTTGGCGTTTCATTTGAGCATTGTTCAAATCATTTTCAGGTAAAATTTAATATAAAACTGATTCATTTTTCCAGTGTGTTTTAGTGAAGCAGAAAATTAAATTATAAGAAACAGAGAGGATTTTGATCCAATCAATGCGAGTCTAGGCTATCAGATCATGAAAAACGATATGATCCGTCATGGTCACTAGCATCAGTTTAATTATGTGATTGCTCAATTAATATTTCATTCTAGAGAAGAATTCGAGTGTTGAGTTTCTAGATTAGTATTCTGTTACATGATGTTTATTTCGACTCAATATTTCTTATCTCACATGACAGCTTGTTTTGCTTTGATAATATTCATATAACTGAATTGATTTAAAAAAATACTACAGATCGGATCACAAACAGAGTAACAAGAAAAGGAACAGATCAAAGTGATTCTTTACTTTTAAACTTATATTTTGAACATAGCGAGAGGATCTTTAAACTATAACAATCCTAATAGAAGTTAGGTTTATCAGTATTGATGTAACCAAGGAAGGCTGAAAGTCCTACCAGCCAAAGCCATGTCAGGCAGAACCTGGTCATATGAGCAGCACTCTTTCAGAATATAGACCTTCTTTACAGATTTACAATAATGTTACTGGATTTTTATGATAGGATAAGATGTTGATAAGAACATTGAATCACAGATGGAGATCTAGTGATTCTAAGAATATCCAACAAGTTGGAATGAGAACGATCGTTTCCTTCTTGATATATTCTCCGATCAAAAATTGATTAAATTCTAAATATGATCAGAAAAATCGAGTAGTTTTGAACGGTGAATATATCAAAAAGAAATGGATCATTGTGACTAGAACTATTTGAATATTCTTTCTATATGAATAAACGGAATTGTGAGAAAGAAAAGTCAAATACACAGTCCAGAATGTCAGAAAATGATAAGAACAGTTATTTGATAGAAATTCTAGTATTTTCTTGATTAATAACTCACAATGATATGGAATAGTCTACACACAGATTTTCCAATCATTTCAGTAATTCTGTATCGAAAGATTTGTTTCTGCCGTCATGACTAAGTGGTTACGTTGTTCAACACGTCGTATCTGCAAGATACTTTGTGCAAACTACAGTATGGAATGATCTTGAACAAGTCACTGACAGCTATTTGTTTCGAATCAACCGCTCGATAGCCTGCTAACTAAGTTCTGGCATACATTTGCTCTTGTGGCTAATATTTGATTAGTTAGTATGCATGTGAAGCTTAAGAAATAGAGCATAATGACTCTATTTTAGACTGGCTTTCTACCTAGAGGTACAGCTAGTGATAGTTGTAAAGAAGATATTCGGCTATTGAATCTGCCGTTAGCCAGCTCCACTTATCTATTACAAGATAGCTGGAAAGTAAGAGTGCTCTTCCTCCTAAATTTTCAACAATAAGTTTTTACGTCTTATCATATTCGTAACTTACAAGAAGGTTATGGTGTCTCATGCCTATTACCATGTAAACCACATATCAACAAATCTGTTCCCTGTTTTTAAAGAATTCTAAAAAAAAGTCGATTTTTTCCTTTCTTCTGAATATCCAACTGATAAAGTGCCGAGCGTGACTAGATCAACACTTCTGACGATCGATCCTATGGATTTCTAGCTGTCACTCATGAGTAAGATCTTGTTTTCGATGGGAAAATTCTGTGAAAAAAACAGGATGTTGGCAACAACAATTCAATGATTATCTCTGATATCCGGCTGATATCAGAAAAAATCCATTACGGAACTCGAAAGTTGGATTCTTACATCAAATTTCTTGCTCTCTATCAAAGTTTTTCCTTCATATATCATTCAAGGCAATAACCAACAAAATTTATGATAACATGCAAATTTGATTTATCCTTATTTCAGGACTTAATTTCACCTCAAACCCTTATTCAATACGTTTGTCTATGCAGTTTAGCAACATTTGAACGATCTGAATTGCATCGTTTAATTTTAATGTCACCAAATATGAAACAATATCTTGAATTAGAACCCACAATTCGTGATATTCTTCATAAATTTTATGAAACATCTTATTCATCATGTATTGCATTAATGTCTCAATATGAACCAATATTTGCATTAGATCAATATTTAGCACCACATTTATGTACATTATATTATGAAATACGTCATCGAATAATAATAACGTATTTTTTACCATATAAAAATGCATGCATGAAAACAATGGCTCGTCAATTAAATACAACAATAGATATACTTGAAGATGAACTTGTTCATTTAATTCGTTCAGGAAAAATAAAAGCACGCATTGATTCAAAAAATAAAATTTTATACGTTGCTGATACAGATCAACGTTGGTATGCATATCAACATGCATTAACAATAACAAAACAATCGGAAACCATAACTCGTGCTCTTTTACTTCGTTCAGCTATAATAAAAGCAAATTTATCTGTTAAAGATGATTCAATATCACCACCAAATCGTTCATTGAACAATAATAATAATATAAATATTTCACGTCGACAATTTGTTCCTCATATGCTCGGACATATGATGATGGATGAAGGAGATTTATCCGATG